AAATAATAATTGTTAGTCTGAGGAGTAAAATCAAAGTAAAGATAGTGTATCAGATCTGAACATGCCTATTAGATTTACGTAGGTCTAGGCCTATGCACAGTAGATCTACGCTCTATGAACCAGATCAATAATAAAACAGCAAAGTAAAAAATTACTCACTTCACTTGAACTTTGATCGTAGAACTAGATCTAGATCTAGATCTAGACTAATTAAATAAATCTATGTGACAAAAAACAACAACAACAGCATTATAAGTTTATACACTGCAGTCTATCATCTAGATCTAGATTTATAATTCGAGTATGCTAGATCTACCATGTACAGTGACAAGGAAGGCCTGTCACACGAGTCACAATCTGCCTGACCTTGAGTGGAGAATCAAGATTTCACAATGGAACAACCACCTATCCTTTGTCTTTTTGCTGAATAAGCAGGGCAAATAAATCATACTTTATATTTTTTCAGATCTAGATATCTAAATCTAGATCTATATTCGTTTTGACATCATGCTTCACAAGTCACAAACCAACGAAAGAAATCTTGCTAGATCTAGAGTCTAGTGAACAGCTTTGTCTCTGACTCACATGTGACAGAATCTCTCTTCTAGAATCTCGGCTATCAAGATGTAAACAAATCGTTATTATTTCGAATAAAAATGAATGACTTGCTGAAATATACTTACCATCCATGATGGAAGGTTGTTCATCTTCATTATCATCATCCACATCGTCTTCAACATCGGAATCTGCAGTCACAATGTGATCAAGAACTTCGCGAGTAGAGAACAATCTTTCACGTCTTGCAGCCATGGCTATCAGCGAAGAAGGGAAGTGCGTTCAAATTTCGCACTCCCTCACATGCTTCACGAAAATAGCTTTCTTTGTTCTAAATTTAGGCTTACACTTCTGGTCATAGTCTGTTCCAAACAAAAAATGGTTACTCGTCCAATTGGGCAATGGTCTGTTTCAGACAAAATTAGTGTTTGGGGTCACGAGAGCGAAATTTTCCATACCGATATTGTCGGCGTTAGGGCTGGAGCGTTGCGCGCGCATACCGATATTATCGGCGTTAGGGCTGGGTGAGTTAACAGATAATTGATTTGGCTCATTTACTAAAGCTGGCTGCTGTTGAATCAAAAGTACCAACGTCTTGTTCTTCTATGATCTTATTTAAGCCCACAGACTTCAGACTTTCAGCCCATCTACTTTAATCATCTAAACGCTAAAAAAAGCGTAAAAAAGAAGGAAAAAAAGAAAGATATAAAGTGGCATCGAAGTGACACCACACCACACCTCTTTCATGTTCCCTTTGTTCGTGACACTGTGGTACACCCTCTGGTGACGAGGAAGCTGACTCGCAGACAATGCCATCCCACAGTGTTCGCACAACCGCTCCACAAAATCCAGCTCTTTGCACTGCACAGGCAGTAACCTCTTTGGGACTTTCTTATGCACCATTGTCAGGTGCTCAGCCAAAAGATTCTTTCTGTTGAACTGCTTGGTGCAGCCTTTCTCGCTGCATGAGTACCTGTGCACAATTATTTCAGACTTATAAAAAAACAGCATTTTAGTAATTTTGGACAGTTGTCTTTCTTCTCTTCCAACAAGATTAATTCATATGACTTCTGAAACAAAGGGAAAAATCTTGTTAAAAGCTATCTTTAAAAAAATCTAGGGAAAACTGAACAAAAATTTCTGAAAGCTGAAAGACAAAGTGCAAACAAGTACAGGACTCAACTTTCCTTGAATATCCAGAGCAAAAACAGAATCAGTAACATTAGAGCAATGATGAGTAAAGAGAAGCACATCGATATGATAACAGCAGACAGACAGAAATAACAGAACAAAATAAAAGAAGTTGAACCTACCAGTGCCACCACCTTCCAACTACCTGCTAAATGAAGAAATAAAAGGAAACCACTGGCGGGATCAAATTATGTCAAGAGATGTTGCGCTTTGAAGACATTTGGAGAGACATTAAACGACAAGGAAAAGCAAATAAAGAGATGGCTGGATCGAACACTGTCTTGGATTGTACTTAATAGAAACCATGCTAACAAAAAACGCTGTGAGTTTATCGTCTGCCAACTATTAACTTTCTCTTGACAATTCAGATAAAGCCCCATCTATTGCAAAAGTAACATATGCCACTGACCACACCAAGAACAGATTACCAAAGAAAAGTAAGTGTAATTGGAATCAGAACATCAAGACCAAAATGAAGGTGAATGAAGTTTGTTTTTTTGTTAGTAAGGTTTTACGGCACTCGCAACTGCACAAGGTCATAGGAGTGCCAAGGGGTGGATGTCAACAGAGAAGTCCAAACAGAGAATAAGGCTTTCTCTGCTCACCTCTCTAGCCTCAATAGCACAAAGTCTACTTCAACTATCAAGGCACCCTGGAAATAGCTGTGCACAAGAGAGTGATAAACATACCAAAGAAGTAGAGGAAAAATGACGATAGTAAAGATGGGGAAAGAAAAAGCAGCAGTTCCCCTCAT